CTCCGGGGCAGGCGGGAATCGAACTCATGCGGAAGTGGCTTTAGTTTCTTAGTGCAGTGCTTTAACCCGCTGCGCCACCAGGGAGGGCCATAATGTCTCATTGTTTTAATAGAGTAGTTGAATAAAAATTCTTTCACATTATGTTTATGAAATACATATTATGTTCCTTGGTGGGGGCTAGGAGAGAGGATTATCTTGGTAGATAAACTGGAATTTTATCTTCAGATAAAATAATTTGTAAGAATTAAAGGAGGATAAATGAAAAATGTTACCCCTTCCCCCTATCATTTCTTGTAGTTTGCATTTTGTGGGAATGAGAAAGGAGGAGGAGAAAGGGAAATTTAATTTGTTTGCAAAACATACACTGGTGTCTTGCAGACAAATACAATGAAAGTATAATGTATTGTCCCTTAGCAGAATTACGGAGCAAAACCTCTAGGATGTGGCTTTAAGTTAATGAGTTACCTCCAGATGCTTCCAGGAGAGCAAAACCAAAATAGATCTTAAATCAGTAATGGCATGCTTCCCCAAAAAATCTTAGGGAGAGAAATGAATTTAGTCACCTGATGGAGAAATTTCAATGGAGGGGCAATTTTGAAAGTGCTAAATAATCCACGTGTATGTAGTTGAGAATTAATATCGTGATGGTATGATAATTAGATAGCTTTTTTACTTTATCTTTTAAAAAAATTATGCATACAAGAACTGGGGTATAGGCCAGCAGTGCTGTGGGTGAGAGGATTTACCAGAGACAGAGTGGGGAGCAGAACAGGTGGATCTACTGAAATATACTGCTGAGGGGGGCAGTGGGTGGGTCAGGAGAGGTCTTCTGTGCCATGTAGGTCAGCTCCCTAGCAGGGATTGAATTTTTGCTGCAGTAGCTGCTAGTATCTTCATAATGCTGAGATTTAACACTTTGTGCTACCAGAGAGAGTCCACTATTTTAATTTATTTTATTTTTAAATGTCAGCAAGAACAGATTGTGTGGTTCTCCAAAATGTTTGCCAAGATTTAGAAAATGAAATATAAATACTTTGTAGTTCCTGGATTAGGACTTTTTAAAATATGGAAATAGTAAAATAAGTATAGTAGAAAATCTGCTCAATGTGCTGGACATTGTGTGTGTACTGTCGTTCAGTCACAGAAACCCTCTAACATGGATAAATGTAATTACTTATATTTTGTAAGTGGAAGAAGTGGAAATGCAAAGACTTAAGTGACTTCAGTATTAGATATTGTAGCCAATATTTGAATCCAGGTCTTTTGGGTCTATACTACTCCTCTTTCCATGATGTCAGGGCAGTTGTCAGGAATTTCAAAACATAGTGTGCTTAAATTATATCAGTTAAAGATAGAATCAGTATCATACAAAAGGTAATAAAATAATCTGGTGTATAAGACTAAAAAATACAGGCATTAAATAAGTTCTGCCTTAAATTTTAGAGGTTGAACATCTGAATATTTAAATGTGTTCTTAATAGTTTTCAGAATAATTCAGTCTCAATATGTTCCCCGGGATGTATGTAAACTTCTGGTATTTTGTTAGCTGACAGGCTAGTGGTAGCCTCCCTACCGTTGCAGATCTGCATGTGCTAAGATCTGCTGGGCAGTGTGCTCTGCTCGCCCCTCTCCCTGGGGTGCTTATATGATCTTGGTTTATTATGAGTTTTTAGACTAGTATCTACATTTGAACGTGTATCCAATCCAATGTGGTTTGGGGCTAGAAAAGTATTCCAGAGTAATTGGAATCAGCCTGGAATTAATTCTTTGTAGAGCTATGGAACTATAAAGTTTGGTATTCTGAACTATTTTAGACATAAAGTAAGAATGTTTATGAAATGCTGTGCGGTAAATTTCTAAATATTAACAAGCCATGATATCTAGGAAGTCTTTTATAGTATTACTGTGTAATTAATATTGACTTAGTATTTAACAGTAACTAGTTCTCTTCAGTTACTTGATTTTAGTCCAACTTTGTGTTTACTGAATTAGAGAACATTATGCTAAACATTTTGGAAAAAAAAGTTTTAGTCATTCTCTATTTTCCCTGTTACCCTGCAAAGTTATCTTTGTCCCCTCTGAATCACTGTAATACTTTATTATTGTATTTTTATGTATTATGTTCAATCTGGGATTATAATAATTTACTGTCTTAGCATTATTAAAAAAATACTTATTTATGCATATAAGAACTGGGGTACAGGCCAGAGGTGCAGGAGGTAAGAGGATTCACCAGACACAGAGTGGAGAGCATGACAGGAAGATCAGCTGAAATATACTGCCTAGAGGAGGAGCTGGGTGAGATAGGAGGGAGAGGTCTGCTGTACAGTGTGGGTCACCTCCCTGGGGTAGGTCTACCTTGTGCTGCAGTGGCATGGTTTCATCATGCTGCATCTTAACCCCTTCACCACCAGGGAGGGCCGAGTGTTAACATTCTTAAAAATTAGAAATGTCTTTAAGGATATGTTTCAAAATTTAAAATTTTCATGTATGTAGCAGTTCAGTAAGTAAATGCTTTTGGGGACTGACAAATAATATTGTAATATACTTAGAAAAAAGTGTGTTACACATTTTGGCCTCTCAAGCAATCCTTAATAATTGACACTAGATCCTACGTAGAAACTACAGCTAAACTGATCTGTGACTGAGTGAATGTACATGTCAATCCTATCACATATATTTATAAGTGAAAATTTTGAAATATAAGCTGGGGAATTCCGAGATATATTTAAAATATTTTATGTTTAAAATTCATTGTTTTGTAAGAAAACTCAAGTGTTTTATTCCTGTAGTAAGACCTTTTATTATGGCAACTGATTTGTTTACTTAAGAGAACCTGTTGCTAAAATAGTAATGAGGGAAGGTGTAATATAAGTATACTCATACACCCCGTGCTGTGCAAGTAACTAGAGTGCTATGTATGCATGTTGATCTGTCTCCCTTTGGAAGGTAGAAGTAAAGTCGTTTATGTGTTTATTTCACAGCCTAAAATGACGAATGTGTGATTTCAGTGGAATAAATGGCGTCTAAAGTCACGGATGCTATAGTTTGGTACCAAAAGAAGGTAAGTTTATAGTCAAAACTTTAAATCTTTTAAATATTTCTATTCTATAAATGCATACTTTTTGAGTGCTACTGACTTATGTCAAATGGTACCTAAAGTAATGAAAAGTAGATTTTATGATCTTTTGAGTAGAAAGGAAGAGTATTTTTGTTTTATGCTAACTTTACTTTTAAATAACTTAGAAAGATGATGCTTAGATATTTTTCTTCACATTATCAAAGTAGCTATATTTAATTTCAGTTATAAACCAAATTTCAAGAATTGTGAATGTAATTAGCATTTTATAAAGTCCTTATTTTTCTTCCTTAATTACTTTGAAAAGAAAGCTGAATCTTTTCAATAAAATAAGCCTTGGAATTGTATTTTCCAAATACTGAATTTTTTGGATGTTTTATGATTAATTGTAACTGCTTAATCAGTTGCATCATTCTATACATTCAAAAGGAATTTTGCTGGTGTTTTTTTCTTTTTCTTCATAAAGCCCAAAAGAATATATTAAACTTTTCTGATACAGTAAATTTATTTTGAAGACTATTTTACTCTCTTTAAAATGTACTTTGTTATATGTAGTATTTTAGATTTGTTTCTTGTGAATGATTGTTTTAAATTTCAAAATGTTTTGATGCTATTCAAGTCCCTACTACTAAAATATATATAAATAAAATGTTGCTTAGATGGTGGAAAATCAGTTTTAAAATTTAATTTAATTGAAAGTAAGAGGTAACTAGTATGATTTTAAAATAGACACACCAGTGTTGTACTACTACTGATAGGCAGTTGGGGTGGTTGGATTGCAAATGTGGGATTTGAAGTTTTGGTTTTCTTAATTACTTTTTTTGGGAATACTGGCATTTGGGTTAGGAATCTGACATATTAAGTGTCATGCATTACTTTACAGGAGAGTTTGTAAATTTTTTCTCTAAACCAAATTAAATATTTTAGGTCCTAAGGGCTATAAGATCTCTGTGGCAACTACTCAACTCTCATAATAGAAAAACAGCTACAGATAAAAGATAAATTAGTAAAATGAATAGGTACAGGAATATGTTCCAATAAACCTTAATTTTTATGAACAGGTAATGAACTAGACTTGCTTACCTTTGGTTTAAGACCACCCATACACCTAATAACTTCTCTGTTTAAAATGCAACAGTGCCTGTAGAATAGCCCTTTTAAAAAACGTGTGTTTTTAAATATACCTACCTTTTCTTATTTCATTTCTTACCTTTTCTTATTTCATTGCAGATATTTTTGTTTGATTTCTTAAACTGTTTGATACAGATTTAGCTTTTTTATGACTTTCCCCTAACTCCCCTCCTCTCCAGTCCTCCCAGTGATGACAAATTTTGGTTAAATGAGTGTATGATTTCTGTAGCTGAGTTATGTATTATGCTATTTCTTGTGTTTGCTATTTTTCTCTATTGCTTGGTTTTTTAAATTCTCCCACATCTGATACATTATATTACTTCTTTTGTTGCAATCAGTAATACTTAAGTTTTCAGTGTTTTTTCTTTCTTGGGAATAAGCCTCCTAGAATTTTGTTTTCATGTTCTATTCTGGACAGATTGTTCTCCAGTCATGTCCCTCATCTGCTATCTTGGTATTTTCTTTTATCATCAGCCTGAGTGTTCTCTTCATGACTTTCCTCTTAAATATATATTTATTTTAAAAGTCCTCTTAGAGATGTTTTTGTTCCTGTGAAAAGATTTGAGAACTAAAGCTCATTATTTACTAGCCATGGATATATAATTTCATTTCTTTGAGTCTCACCATTTTTGTAGCTATCTAACGTAAATTCTGGTCCTTAGCTTCTTTTCAGTCATGCAACCCTTTGAAGTTGTTAGGAAAACTAAGATCTCATTTCCAGAAAATTGTATAATTTACAAATACAGGTTTAGGTATTTTGAACCCTGTTGAAAAAGCCTTGGACTAGTTCATAGAATATTTTAAATACACCTCATTATTAAAATATAATAATGAGGACCT